AAACAAATACGTGTAAAATGCTGCAACAAACATATTTTTAAAAGATTTTAGGGGAAATTTTGAAACTGACAATGTAATTCTATAAATATGTAAACTTTACATAAACAAAACCCACCTAACATACACGTCACGAGGCTTTTAAAGTCACTCAAATAAAATCAACACAGGTTAAAAGCACCCTACCATTCAACCAGTGTAAAATGCATAGGTTGTTTTGGTTGATGTTATCATAAATCTCTATAATTCAGCATAACAGCTGCTAAATGTGCTTCATCTGCCTACCAAAGCATCTTAAATAAAGACAATAAACAACAGTTAAGGCTGTATTATCCCAGAAACGTTCACTGTGTAGCATGGTGGGTGGAGCTAGCCAACTAGATATCAGTACAAAACTCATTAGCAGCTATTTAGAGAATTTGATGAAAATAGAGCATGAAGAATGCAAAAGAAAAACATTACAAAAGATAGCAAAGAAGAAAAGGACCGTAAGCTGTGTCTCTATCTGGCATCCGTTTGAAGTTTGGCCATTCCCAGTGCATCCTGGGACGTGAACAGTGCTCCAACGTTCTTCTGTATCGTTTCCCTCTTGTCCAACAAATGGTAAATGGCCTGTATTTGTTATAGCGCCGTCTAGAGTCCTGGAACCCCCCAAGGTGCTTAACAACACAATCAGACATTCACCCATTCACACACCCACTCACACGCTGGTGCTGATGAGACAATTGTTGCCACAGCTGCCCTAGAGCGCACTGACAGAGGTGAGTATGCCGTATACAGGCGCCTCCGGTCCCTCCGACCACCGACAGGCGTCCGTCTAAACACAGCAAGCAGGCAAGGTGGGTTAAGTGTCTTGCCCAAGGACACAACGACAGCAACAGACTGAGCGGGGCTTGAACCTGCAACCTTCCGATTACGGGGCAAACACTTAACTCCTGTGCCACAAGGATGTTAGCAGTAGCTTAGGCTATCATCAGTAGTTTGAAGTTTCTGATAACGACCCAGATTCCTTATCTTCTCAGTTTAACGAGCACTGCCTCTCCATTCTGGACAACATCTGTCCTGTCAGAACCAGATCAGTTCCTGCAGTGAACCCTACTCTCTGGTTCCCTAACCCTTCGCAGCCTGAAGCGCCAATGTATAAAAACTGAGCGCTTGTGGAAGAAAACCCGTCTCCACGTCCATCTGCTGCACCTCAAGGATCTTCTGACATCCTTTAACTCTGCAGTCAGAGTCGCTAGGGTTTCCTATTTCTCCAACCTGGTGTCCCAGAGCAAAGGGAACCCCAAGGTGCTGTTTAACACCATCAGCAGCATTGTCTCTCCTGCCTCTCCTACAGCCTCCATCCACTCTGTTGCAGACTATGAGAACTTTCTGTCTTTCTTTGTGGACAAAGTCAATAAGGTTAGATCTAGCATCTCTCCTTCAGCCTTATTGCTGCCTCTCCCGACTCCAACCAGGCCCGTCATCCTAGATAGCTTTGCTCCTGTTTCTTTGCCTGAGTTAACCAAACTAGTTAACTCTATGAAGACCTCTGCATGCCCCCTCGACATCTTACCCTCATCTTTGTTTAAAAGTGCTTTTCAGTCCATCGGTCCCAGTGTGCTCTCTATAATTAATGCTTCTCTGGTCTCTGGTCGGGTCCCTGCTTACTTAAAGAACGCTGTAATCCACCCACTTCTTAAAAAAACGAGTCTCGACCCCTCTCTCCACAGCAGCTTCAGACCCATCTCTAAACTTCCGTTCATCTCCAAGATCTTGGAAAAGGTTGTGGCAAAACAACTCACAGCTGCTCTTGATGAACATAACATCTATGATAGCTCCCAGTCAGGTTTTCGTAGAGCTCATTCTACTGAAACAGCTCTTCTTAGGGTCTCTAATGACCTTCTGACCCACAGTGATGCAGGGGACTGTTCTGTTCTGGTCCTGCTGGACCTGACTGCAGCCTTTGACACTGTTGACCATCACCTGCTACTGGAGAGGCTGAGAGACTGGGTAGGCCTATCAGGATCTGCTCTGGAGTGGTTCTCCTCTTATCTCTCTGAGCGCTCCTTTTCTGTGGCCGTCTCCAAGTTTAGGTCGTCCACCACCTCTCTTACCCATGGTGTCCCACAAGGTTCTGTGCTGGGGCCTCTGCTCTTCCTCCTCTATCTGCTTCCTCTTCAGCACATCCTGAGCTCCTTCAAAGGAATCTCCTACCATCTTTACGCAGATGACATCTAACTGTACATCTCCTTTAAGCCCCATGAGATGTCTAAGCTGCAGCTGTTACACACCTGCTTAGACTCTATCAAAACCTGGATGGCTGGGAGCTTTCTACAGCTGAATGAAGATAAGACTGAGATCCTCATCTGTGCCCCAGACAAGCTGGTTCCCAAAGTCAGAGACTCTCTTGGTCAGCTTGCTTCTCACACAATGATTGTTTTTCTAGCTGTTTCTACTTCTGTTTATTTGATGTATCTTAATGTAAACGCTGCCTGACCTGACTTTGACTTGAATGTATGTTTGCACCTTGCCACCAAAACAAATTCCTAGTAGATGAGCCTCTCACCTACATGGCAAAAAATAAATCTGATCTGATCTGATCTGACACCAAACCTTCCGTCAGGAATCTTGGCGTGACCTTTGACCCAGCTCTCACCCTGGATTCTCATGTCAGTTCTCTTGTTCGCTCTTCCTTCTTCCATCTCAGGAACATTGCTAAGCTGAGTGCCATTCTGTCCCGCTCTGAACTTGAGACTGTTGTCCACACCTTCATCTCCTCACGCTTAGACTACTGTAACTCTCTTTTCACGTGTCTGAGCAGAGCCTCTCTGAACCGTCTACAGGTGGTTCAGAATGCCTGTGCTCGGCTTCTGACCAAGTCCTCCAAACACACCCACATCACCCCGCTTCTCCTCCAGCTTCATTGGCTTCCAGTCAACTTCAGGGTTCATTTCAAGATCCTGGTTCTGGTCTATAGGGCCTTACATGGACAAGCACCATCATACATTGGTGATCTTCTTAGTCCCTACACCCCCAGCAGGTCCCTGAGGTCCAGTGAGCAAAACCTACTGGTTGTGCAGCACCAGGCTAAAGACCAAAGGTGACAGATCATCTGCTGCTGTGGCCCCCAGACTCTGGAACTCTCTCCCCCTGAGCCTGAGATCAGTGGACTCAGTGGTCTCCTTTAAAAAGCAGCTGAAAACTCACCTGTTCAAGCTGGCTTTTGGATGACCTTCTTCACCACTCTCTCTTTATTCTGCTCTCCCCACCTATTCCACCTTCCTCATGATCCACAGATTTCCCTCTTTCCTAGTCACTGTCTCTCTTTCTTAACATTTTTTAATCACAATTGTCTATTTTTAGCTCATTTTCAAATATTTTTAACCATTTTCTAAATTCTTTTTTATATTTTTACATTTTTTGTTTTTCTGAAGCGCCTCGTGATTTTTATTTTGAGAGGCACTATAGAAATGATATCTTATTCTTCTTCTTCTTCTTCTAGTTCAGGCTAGCATTAGCAGGAGCTCAAGCTAGCTATGGAGCTCCGGGAGTTGACATCACTTCTCCCGGCATGCAACAGTTCAAATCGAAACGACGCCATCTTGGCAGACCACAGCTGGGCTATTATTTATTGTCAGAAAACTCAATCAAACGGTAAAATGGTAGATTCCTGTTGTGCCCCAGGATGCCAGAACAGACACAGACGACATAAGGAATGAGCCATCTACAGGATTCCCCAAGATCCGGAGCGCCGCAAACGTTGGATCATTGTAATAAAACGCGCTAGTGACCGGGCTAAAATGAAGCTTTGGGATCCTGAGAGTAAAGGTTTTTGCTTATGCAGTGACCACTTCATATCAGGTACTTAAACCAACGTTTCCTCAACTGTATATGGTATTTATTTTAAATGCTTTTATTACGATTCTTAGTGGGCTTCCTAAACTTATTTTGGCGTGGCTTTTTCTGTCTTATTACTCATAGCAACAAGTAAACATCACGTAAAACGTTGCCTCGTGAGTTCTGCGTGCTGCCGTTTACGTGTTTCATGATCACAGCAATTAACCGGCTAAGCTGTATTTCATTTTTAAGCAATGGTTGATCAATTGTCAGATCACACATAAAAAGCACTTTGGATTGCTATTATCTGTCTCACCGAGACAGATCTCAGACAGATCCTGGGATGCTCCTGCCTGACATATTTATTTTATTCACGGAAAAACATCAGACTAGTGATTTCTCTTGGAGTTCAGTTTATACATTCAAACAGCACAGTTGGTTGTTTTGAAAGAATTACCCCGACGCACACACTGATGCGCACACAGATGAGCTGACATTTTAATCGTTACGCACATCGCGGAGGGAACTAAATCAATCAAGAAATGATTCCCATCAAAACATCAGCGCTTTATACTGGACACTGTGCTCAGCGCGGCTCGAAGCACACACGATGGACAGTGAGCTGAAGATCTGTAGAGGGGTTCGGAGCGCAGCGCAGAACCACGACGCATGCGGTAAGATTTCCTCCCACTGAAGTGGTCTGACCACTAGCATTACCAGTAGCTCAGCCTAGCGTTACCAGTAGCGTAGGCTATTAGCAGTATCTCAGGCTGGCGTTAGCAGTAGCTCAAGCTAATGCAAATGGTAAATGGCTTGTATTTGTATAGCACCTCCTAAGGGTTCTACAACCCCCCAAGACACTTCACAACACAGTCATCCACCCATTCACACGCTGGTGATGATGAGCTACAGTGAAGCCACAGGGAGACTGCTGAAAACTGGCGCCACCGGTCCTTCCGACCACCATCATCAGGCCAGGCGGGTTAAGTGTCTTGCCCAAGGACACAGCTGAAGCAATCTCTGGCAGGAGCCAGGATCAAACCTGTGACCTTCAGATTACTGGACAACCTGCTCTATCTCCTGAACTACTGCTGCCCTTAATGAAGTTAGTTTAGTAAATAACACACACACACACACACACACACACACACACACACATAGGGAGGAGATTATTGTCTCACCTCAGCCTCTCATCCTCCTTCTTCCTCAGCTTCATGTCACGCTGAACCACTTTCAGGACGTGTTCTGCCTCATCGTCCGTCAGGCCCGACAAGTCCAGCTTGCGACCCATTGTTCTTGTTTGTTCCACGCTGAGCTGCTGCTTCCCCTCAAAGTGAGGAGGAGGAGGAGTGTCACAGGTGCTGCTGCTCTGGTGGCCGAGGTTGGGACAACCCTAAGTGACACGAACAAATTAACTAATAAATACATTTTTGGAGCACTTAAAGACTCAAATCACTTTCCTGAGTCAAGCGTTGTTGGTATTTCTGGGACCTATTGAGATATTCAGCTGTGTGCTGCATTAATTGGTCTCCGGCTCTTTTTTATAGATAAGATGCACTTTGTGTCTGCGGTAACATAATAAAAATGTTACACCATGTTCCATCACCATGCAAATTATTCTACACAAATTCTTTTTTGCAAGATTAGTTGTGTCAGTTTTGTCCTCCTTTACTGAGCAGATAGAAACTCTCTGGAAAGACCGATTTCTTATTTTGCTAGAAAATGGTCTGGAAGGAATTTTACATTCATTAGAAACTAAGTTTATCTGAGCTGCAGCTTTTATACAAGTAAATATATTTAACATTGTATGAGGAGTCATGCAAATAAGTTATTTCTGTCATCAAATCTAACAATGCTACAATTCCAGAGTAACTGCAAAGCTGATGCAGCCAGCTACAATGATGTTCTGCTGAGCTGTGGTGCCCTCATGGAGGGGGCCATCGGCTTGAACACTGTTGCTAAACATTTAAACATTCTCCCTCTCCTGATACAAACATTTTACATTGAATGTGCTACCACTAGTTTACCCATTTAATTATAGATTCACTAGGACAAATACAATAAAGTTTATCTCTCACCAAATAGAATATTTATTAAGAAATCACAATGTAACCATAGAAACACTACTTGGTAAATATGTTCTGTGTGTGGGTGGTTGGGTTGGTGTTCGGGTGTGTGTGTGTGTGTGTGTGTGTGTGTGTGTGTGTGTGTCTGCTCTGTCTTCTCGATCCCCAGTGAGATGTGGTGGATGGCTGCTTATACTGGAGGTTTCTTCCTTTTAAAGGGGAGTTTTCCTCTCCACTGTCGCTAAATGCTTGCTTGGTATGAGGACTGCTGTAAAGTCACTGACACTAGTCAGTGACTTGATGCAATCTGCTGGGTTCCTTATAGAGGAAACTTTTTACTGATTGGCTTAATGAACTGACCTGTATTGGAATGTTTATTATGTGAAGTACCTTCAGACGACTCTTGTCGTGATTTGGCGCTATATAAATAAACTTGAATTGAAAAAAACTTCAATTAACTATTTTGAGTCTGGCCAATCACAGCACTCTACATTTGTTGGGCGAGCTTAACGCAAGAGCTGCAATGAAGAAAAACAAAAAGGATGGCGTCAACTCACAAGCAGTGCTAGTTTGAAAGACAACCGTAGATCCCGCCCCTATGAGTGAGCTGTTTCAGTGCTTCATGGACAGACTATAGGGAGCCTAAGTCATGCCCATCTACTTCTGCACCACGGGTCCCCGGAAGAACGAAAAAAAGAACGCAAATCAACGGGGCTAAAAACGCTATTTTCTAATTCTGCTTGTTTTGTGCCATGGATTTCACATATGATGTCTGTGAATTTTAAAGACGCATTCTGATACCAAGAACTCGCTTATTTTCGAACATGGTGAACGATATTTTAGGTTTTGTGTGAAGATAAGTCCAGGACTACAAATGCGCTTCATGAAAGTGACGTCATCAAACCAGACACGGAGAAAACTGAGGGAAAAGGGCTGTAAGTTCAGCAAACTTCCCACAGGAGGAAAGAACCACCATAAATCTGGTCATTTGGTAAGTAGCAGCTACGCTAGGGGAGAGGAGATTCTGTTGTGACGTCACATACGTGACATGCCGATTTCTAGTTTGTAGTCATGCTATATATGAACTTTTACAAGCTAATAAATCTCAAAGTATGTCACTGGCGTGGTCGAAACACCCATCAATAGTTTTCATTTAAATTGCAATACAACATGTGCGATCCAGGGAGCAAAGCAAAGTGGATCAGAAAATAGCGTATTTAGCCCTGTTGACTAGCATTCATTTTTTCGTTCTTCCGAGGACCCATGACGCAGAAGTGACTTAGGCTCCCTATACTGTACGTAGACTCCTCCTTGGGCACTGGAAAGCGTAACAGTATCACTGCCATATTGGATGGGTTCCTCACTCTCCAAAACCTAACTGGAGTCAACACAGAGTGAGCAACTATTCCCGTTTTTTTCAACAATCGGCATACTACTGAAAACCACGCCCCCATAATTCGGCTCTGAAAATGAAGCCAATACGGAGCTCCGTGGAAAGGCCTCAGCCTGAGCCTCGGCCTCGCCTGAAAACTGTTCCGCGATTTTTAGTCTCTCAACTTAGACCATTAGTTGTAGTGTTTGTGCATTTTGTTAAATATTATTTGTGCAATTGTTGGACAAAATGACTTGCTGTGGTATTAATTGCCCTAATAGAATGTCCAAGGAGTCTCCACTTCATTTTTTTTGGTAAGTGAAAGTATATTTACATATTTTTAGGTCACTGCCGCTCTTGCACCAGCTGAGCTTAGATTTTAACATGTACTGTTTAACCATGAAGTTTAAATGTAATGGAGTAAAACCCAGTGCATTTAACATAACGCTGCATTTTAGAAAATGGGTTGAAATATAGCATGTTGGTGGAGCTGGGTTCCGACCACCGGTATGGACTCCCTTCCTTCAGCTGCAGCTCAAAGCATCTCTGATCGCAGCGGCACCTGTCTGCTGCGCAGGCTGCCGGCTTGTGGAGCTCTCGAGAGACCTCTGTGTTCTACCCGGTTTTACCCAGCGGTCAGCCTGGCGTATCTGTGACTCAGAAGCTCCTGTGTTGTGCACAGTTAACTCTGGTTGTAGCTACGTAGCTCCCACCTCCGCGTTAGCTTTGGGTTATCTTGTAGCTACATCGCTTCAGTTCGATGGGTGTCGTCATTTGATCCCAGCCTTACAGCCCCACCCTCAGCTCCACCTCTTTTCCCTTTTGTGGAATTGTCTGGGCTTGACGGAACCTGTGACACGGTCAAAATGGCGGTGGTGGCCACCTCCCATTTTGACCTTAAAAACGTATTATTGGAGCCTATGGAAACGCATTGTCCAGTATTTATGTCGGTGTTGAAAACAGACCACGTGGGATTACTATTGACTTTTCTAGCCTACCTGCTGACATTGTATATGTTAATTTATTTTGTTTAATTATATTTATGTTTTTTATTTCATGCCACAGCATATTTTTGATTTGTTGGCTACAATTACAGTAAAACACCTTCCTCAGTGGAAATATATGCACTGGGGGCAAATGAAGACCCATCCAAGATGGCGGCCCACTGCTACGCTGGCTTCAATAGGCAACAGCAGTCCATGGGGTGTCAACACATATGATATCTTTGAACTTCCAGATATCTGTAATTCTACTGTTCCTAGTAGAAATGATCATTCCAGGTATCCACAAGATCTTTTCAGATATCTGACACGTTCATTCCAGATAGTAAGAATCATTCAGTTAAAAAAATCTTTGACATTATTGATATTAGAAAACATAACTGCGGTATAGAACATAGAAGTAATGTTACATTTATTTTGCTAAGTAACTGATTACTTCTACAATGTGGTAACTGAGTTACTAACTCATTTAAATTTTGGAAAAAGTAATTACTTTTTTTACGTAAAATTCCCAACACTGGTTAGCAAAGCTAATGAAAAATCGTGTTGAATAACTGAGATCTCAGTTTCAGTCTAAATAATTGATAATATCGTTTTTGCCATAATCGAGCAGTCCTACTCCTCTCCTTGATGTCATCTTTCTACAGACCTCAATGGATCATCCCAGAAAATATATTTAAAAAGACGCTAAATTAACTAAAATTCATGTTTGTTGTGATCACTGTAGAGATGCAAAGTAGAATTACATGAATAGCATATAAAACTCCTATTACAGAATCCGCTTCTCAGCACACTCACACCCTCATCGTGCAAATGAAAACATTCATTTACAACCAGATTTTTCTTTTTTGTTTGTTTCTGGATGCATGATGAAACAATAGTTGTCCACAGCAACAGAGAAAAGACTCGCTGTTAGCAGGAAATCACACGTTTGAATCTATTTGTCATTTGGGTGATGAGATCCTATTTTTCTCTCCAACAGCAATAGCTGTGAAAAGAAGCAGACTGTCAGCAAACACGAGCACTGTTTACATGATATGTGATGGCGCTTTTGTCCAGCAGCCATTAATGTAAGAGCATGTTTTCAATGTGAAGCTAATTCTGTGTTGCTTTGTGGGGTTTGCCATGAAAAGAGGAGATAGGGGAATGTGGTTATGAGGTGATTCTTGGTCAAATATTTTACTGATGTCTCAGTCATTTAACACCCTGTCCACAAAGGCAAACACAACAGAGACAAGCTCACTAGCATGTGTTACGTGTGAGGGAAAGGTTTTTTTTCACATTCAGTTCTGGTGGGAAAAAAAGGAAAATCTGCTTAAATCTGCCAGTCTTACAAATCTGTTATCAAACAGTGTGAATAGGTTTCAGACTGTTGCCTGGCCTTTCATAAACACTCCTTATTCAGCTGTGGAGATAAGAGAAGTCATCCTTCAACCTTGTGAAAGCGTTTCAGTCAAAAACAGACGTCTAAAACATTAAATACAGACAAGACACACATGAGGACGTGGACTTAAAGCGAGCGTGTGTATTTACCTTGGCGACAGTGGGCAGTACATACCTAAATCATTGCAAGCAAGCGGTATTTGTGTGTTCAAGTAAGACCTTACCTACGGATGGCCATTAGGGTCAAAAATCTCTGGGAGCGCAATTTTTGCTAAATACTTCATCAGATCGTTCAACCTCCAGCAGAATGACAAGCACAACAGACTCCCTTTCATCACTGGAAACGAGTGAAGATGTAAATGTGTAAAACAACTTTATGAATGGTGAAATGTTTGTAACCGCCTGTAACAAATCAGTAACTGCTTTTTGACCTCACAGGCTTCCGTAGAAGGAAAAATGATGCCACCCAGAGACCCACTCCCATGTATTTTATACCCACTTTTTATGGATGTTTGTTACGAATCCACCAATTTTTTTCAACAACTGGGCATCATTGATATCATTTTCAACA